GCTTCCTTCTAGTATTAACCTATACTAGGATAGAAATTATGTTAATTAAATTCATTTTTCAAAATTTTTAGTTTATTCATTAATTTGATTGGATTGGGTGACCATTTTCTTGTTTATTTATTTGTGCAAATTACGAATTGACATCTATATTTTTTTAATTTACTCCAAGCAAAAGAATTTGGAGAATGCCCTCTTTTTTTTCTTTTGACAATTTCTTTTAAAATAATTTTATTTGATTATTTCAAGCTAAACTAACACATTAAAATCCATTAAATTTCTTGTCTATTTATTTGTGCAAATTACGAATTGGCATCTATATTTTTGTAATTTACTCCAAGCAAAAGAATTTGGAGAATGCCCTCTTTTTTTTCTTTTGACAATTTCTTTTGAAATAATTTTATTTGATTATTTCAAGCTAAACTAACACATTAAAGTCCATTAAATTTTCATGTCAAGTTTGATATATGTTTTTGCAGGTTCTGTTAAAGGAGTAGTTGATATGATCAAGTGGGTAATGTTGGGAACCAAACCAAGATTATATTGCTATTTTTTTTTTTTTTTTTGAAGGCTTGAATATTTTAGTATGATATATTTTAAGGATAGTTAATGGATATTTGTTTTGCATGTATGAAAGTTTATATTTTGTTTACACACTTACATATGTGACTATAGGTTAATATTTTTATTACAAATTTAATTAATTTGTTAATTATGTTATTTTTCATTTAAAAAAAATTGTTAGGTGCTTGCAATTGATTTTTTTTTTTTTTTAAGTAATCGTATATATGATTTTTATAATAAATAGTTATTTGTGATGATAGAAAATGGTCGCTAAAAGTGTTTTTTATTTTTTTATTTTTTTTGCGACAACAAGATAGCTGCTGCAAAAACTAGTTTTGGCAGTTACAAATAATTTGCGACTGTTGTTTTGTCGTTGCAAAAAGTATTTTCCATCCCCATATTTGTGTCCCCCATTTGCAGTCACATGAGCCATCGCAAAAGGTCTTTTACAACTATATTTTTATTATTTGCGACGGCTTGTGGCGGTCGCAAAAAGTACTTTTTCTAGTTATGACTTCAACAAACAAGAAGGCAAACAAAATACAATAATCAACACCCAAATTACCAACCCTGCAAATGAGAGCAAAATAAGCACATATTCCAAAATCTAGCAAAATATAAGCACAAGATTGAAACAATCGAGTTAAAGGGCTCTGGGTCGAGGTGGTCGGAAAAGACTTAGGTTGTTGATACTAGCTTCAATCCGAGGCTCTCTGTTACGCTTGCCTTGATCTTGGTCATGGGATTGAGGAATTTCCACACTAGCTGTCATATCATCCCACTCCACATAGAGATTTCTTGGGGCTTGGATTCGCTTAAATCTCCCCACACGATACTTCATTACTTACATAAAAACCTATTCTAGTGATGGCACGTCATGAACACCCACAATTTGTTACAGACATAGAAATATCCTCTACATGCTATGATGATGATTCATTGACATTGGAGTGGAGTACATCAAGTTATTCCTTTAAATCATGAATGTCCGGCATGTCAACTTGTTCCTCTGTTAGGGGAATCTCGTGTCTGAACCTTAACAACTGACAAACTTTGTTGATGTAAAAACTGAACAGAACTAGTGGCTGTAAGGTTTTGACACAAGTTACGATCAATTAGTAGAATATTCCTATCCAAAAACACTTTCTTCTTCTGCTTGAGACGCTTTGTGGAAGGAGTTGCATTTGTGGTGCCCCCTTTTAAACAACTAACATTGCCTTCACACAAATTCTTGTTGGAAGTTGGAACCTCCTTTCCAAAAACAACTCCTTTGTCACAATTAAGCGAAGAACTTGATTGGGAACTAGAAGCTGGATCAGAAGCAACCCTACTATTCAATTCATTATTTGGTACCCATCGCCTTGTTTGATAGTACTCTGGTGAGGCGATATTAGGGATTAGATCTTTATCCATATCATCTATGTCCTTGTCTCTAAGGCCCCGTTTGTTTTCAGAGATAGAATGGAGGGGATTGATAGTGAGGGGATTAATAGTGAGGAGATTGTTAGTGAGGGGTTTGATAGTGAGGGGATTAAGTAAAATTGTGTTTGTTTTCATGATAGTTGTTAGTGTAGGGATTGTTAAATTATTTTTATATAAAATAATAAAACAAATAAAAAAATACAAAAACCTTAAACATTAATGTTTTAAAAAAAAATGCCCAACATGTAAAAAAATTTTAAAAAATAAAACTAAAATAAAAAAATTTCCAGAAAAAAATAAAACAAATAAAATAATAATTTTTACTTAACAAAAAATACAAAAAATTAAACATTAATGTTCAAAAAAAAATGCCCGACATGTAAAAAAATAAAATAAAAAATTTCTAATCCGCCGGACTATTTTTCTAATACCAAGGCCTGGAGGCCCATTTGAATCCCCTTGGAGAGGCTCATCCTAATCCGGAGCTCACTACCAATCTCCTCCCCATCTCTCAAAACAAACACAATATTAGTAAATCTCACCTCATTACCAATCCCAATCCCCCTTCTAACTCTCCAAACAAACGGTGCGTAAGAGTTTGTGCCACAGTTTCCCAATCAAATACGAAATCATCACAGAGGGTATCTTTCATTAGAGCAATTTCAAGAGGGTCCAAGCTAGAAAACATGTCTTGGGGAGATGAACCTTTTAGATCGTTCCTAATCGAGTCATTGTCTAGAGCAATATCTTTACCTTTTTCTTCCCTGGATAATCGCTGAAAAACCAGCCTAGAGTAGAGAAGAAACCCCTTTTTCATGATGATAACACTCCAAAAATCCCAAAAAATTTAAAGGAAAATAATAAAAACACAAGTAACCCCTTTTTATTGGCATAAACAACAACAACCAAACTACAATAAAAATAAATAAATAAAATAAATAAATAAAAAATTAAAAATAGAGGGAAGTAAAACCACTAATAACTAAACTGAAAAAGCATAGCAAGAGGACTCAAAAAAACACAATAACAAGAACCCTAGAAACATGACCACTCACCAATCTTTCTAAGACAGCAAAACCACTAAGAACGAACAAAGAGGGGGAGATTGGCATAAGACTAAGGAAAGGATTGGAGAAAAAAGAAGACAAATGATGGGGAGAGGGAGATCGAAACACTACCGAACAAAAAACACAATAGAATAAACAATCTTACTTCGTCGTTGCTTTCAGGAGATAGCTCCATATTGTGCTAATTGCGTTTCCTTTTTGTTTTGTTTTTTGATAAAGACTCAATCTTTGAGATCATTCAGTTATGCTATATTTGGTTGGAGGATTTGGAAAGGGAAAGGGAAAGGGAAAGGGGAAAGAGAAAAGGTGTGTGAAACTAAGTGAAATTTAGGTATATTTTATTTACATTTCACCTACCTTTTCTATTTTTATTTCCAAATCCGTTCTCAAATTTCCCAACTAAACACAACATTAAAGAAAAATGAGAATCAATGAAGGTGAGATCACCATATGCTAAAACGTCCCAGAAAGATCGCCGGAAAACACCTCTTTGGATCACCAAAAAATGCCAAATATTCGTCACACACGTACTTGTGATCAACCTAAAACCTCCTCCAAGCGATGTCGTAAGACTTGCATTTTCAACTCAAGTAAGCTTACCGGAGGGTGTGTGCCGGAAATTCCTTTAATGCCTAAATCAATTCACAAGATCAATATGGAGTCAAAGTTCCATTACCTGGTTTTAGGTTATCTGCAAGCTTTTTTATAATTCGCACAGTAAAATCTTAGTAGAACTCTAATTCCTATTCGTAGAATCCTATTATGAGTCATCTTCTTAAGGGTAATGCTCATCCTTTAATGCCCTAATCATCAACACCAAGTGAAATTGCCTAACTCTCTAGCAGGCAACCAGGAACCATCACTCCGGTTGCATGTCAACTGTGTAACTGCTTATAGCCAAACCTTGACGAAGACAAGCACTAGCACCGTGCTACTTTATCCCAATTGAAGTTTTACTTCAAGCATGCCATGTTTGCCCAGTTCGCTCAAATATCGCATTCATTCTTCCAGTCAAAACCTAACTAAGCTAGTCAAACACTGGTTAAGCTGGCCCAAATCCCTATCAAGCTTTCCAAGTTCGTTTTTCTGGCTGAAACGTTGGTCCCAATTTAGGCAATTTAGGCCGGTCAAAGCCCATACGAGGATAAGCCTGGTTAAAGCTTCATCAACGCAGAGTTTAGCCCGATCCAAACGTGAGACATATTTGCCTAAACATAACCTTAAGCCCAAGCTTAAATCTGTCCGGCCCAAGATTACGGCCCATAGTGATTTAGCCCGCTGGTAAGCTCATCTAGCAACAACTCTCAATTAAGCATTATTAAAAAAAGGAAGAAAAAACAAAAAAGTAATCAATAATTGTCAAAGCCTAAAGTAATAGATCAAATGGTCTGATATTTCAAGTGAAAACAACTATATTGGTTTGATTAAAGCATGAATGGTATTATCTTAATTTCTAGTTTCAGAAGATCACAGAGTCAAAATGAGTGGCACAGTTTTGCTGCTGCTGCTAATTATGTTGTTGCTTCTAGTCGCTTATGTGGCCAAATCGAAGACAGCCACATTTTTAAGAAGCTAGATAGGCTAACTAGAGGAAATGACCGTTATGTATGCAAACTGTCTATTTTCAAATTTATGTACCGAGATTTTTCTAAATAAGTAATTATATGGTTGAGATTAAATTTGTGTAGTGTGAGTTTATATGTAGAATAAATCTGAATCACCAAATGATAACTTTAAATAATTTCTGAGTAGTTAAATCTCCATTTGTAATATTACTATTTCATTTTTTAGTTTTTTTCCGTCGATTTTGTCTCCATATTTACTTTTCTCTCTCCTTTTTTTTTTTTTTTTTGTTTTGCTTGCTCTCTACAGTTCCTCCATCTTCCCTCATTTTTCTCCTCTCTGTCATTCGTTGAAAGAGCTGTTTTGCATTCCAAGCTTCATCAACTGCCAATACGATCCAATGGGTGATACGATCCAATGGTGGCTCCCGATCTCCATCAACGTCAACAATAATACATTAAAAAAAAATTAAAAAATTAAAAACAACAGATAATAAATACGTGGATATATTTTTTTTTTATGTTGTGATTTTGTTGGGCCCAACCCTCATTGAAATGGGGGGGGGAAAGGGTTTGTAAATCGCGGTGTTTCTTTAACAGAGAGCATACAATAAAATTCATATGGAAGTTTAGATTTTATTCTCCATCCTAGCCTATTGTAATTTCTCCAGTTTTGTTTTGAGAAATAGTTTATAAACCAGTTTATTGACTTTTTAATTTATTTAAATCACATTACTTCTCTACTTTTTACATGTATTTCCGTAATAAACAAAAAAACTAGCATATTTTACACTTTCCAAAACAACATTTGTAACTTCTGTTGCTCTCTGACTATTGAAGGAAGAGGACGCTTGCAGCAATCTGTAAACGCACAGCATATGTGCACACTGCCTCTGAATCCAACAATAGCAGTTGTCAATACCGTACAATACTTGATATACATACGTATCGATAAGAAAAAGATATGTATCACATACCATAATCAAAATATTTTCCACTTATATTTCTCATTTGTCAATTTGACCACCTAGTGATCCACATATTTTCTTTCCTTTTTCTTTCTTCTAACAAAAACCAACCTTCATTACACCAAGACATCAATACATTCAAAAGCACACGTCATACAGTGTTGAGCAATCCTGTTTTTCAATGGGGCACTGTTTGGTGCAGCTTTCCTTAAGTTGAAGGTTGACAACAAAAACTAAAAGCATCCTCTTCAAACTTTCAGATAATCAATTTTTTTCAACTTAATTAAACTATTTTTGCTTCATAAATCATAAGCAAAAGCTGCACCAAGCATCCTAACATGGATTTACACAAACAAAAACTATAAGCAGCCAGACAAGGCCATGCACTTCTATGCACTCCAACTATTACACAAGAAGTCAGTTTGGTAATATAATAGTAATACCAAACAGCAACAAGCATATGATGGGTCCTATATAACTAGAATCTTCACGCAAAACCAGAGCTTGTGTGTACAGAGAGATGGCGTTGCGAGCTTCCTTATCTAGGAGCAGCTGCTGCAACCAACCTGCTTTGAATATCGCAAACTACAAAACGAAAACCCGTTTATGCTTAGTATCATCAATCAAAATTGCTCACAGATCTTGGAGCACATCTGGCAAAAAACATTTCACAAATACACCAACTCCTATAGAAAACACAGCTTATTCTGGTGTCCAAAAACCCCATATAAGTACTATAAGGAGTACGATATGGATCATCTACAACAAGCGCCTCTGTGCAACCAGCTCACAATTGCATAGCATTGTTATCCCAGACAGATCGGGCGGAGGCAAACAACTGCTGTATGGGGAACTCGAAGAAAGTACCTGTTTGGTATTGTTTTCTGAAAATTATTTTCAGTCTTCAAAAACACATATACAAAAAAAAGATAAAAACATCAAATGCTCACTTGAACTGTTTTTTTAAAGCAATTCATGAAAAAATTTCCCGACACAACCCTTATTCCAGGAAACTATCACAAAATGCTTCTGAGGTTTCAGCAAAATTCTGATACATAAGAAAATGAAAACGATTTGAAAACAAAATGTATTCACAACGTTTTCTTTAGTTTCATTTCTGGAAGATTCAGAAAAGAGAAGCAGAAAAAGGGAAGAAAAAAAAAAATTTGATGGCAACAATACCAAACAGGTCTTTTAGAAGTCCTCCGGTCCGGTTTACAACAAACTGTATAGTTAGGTTCTTCTTAACAAGTTCCTCACTACAGGTGATATGTGCATACATTTCCTTGGATTTCAGACAACCAATTCGCCCCAGCCGTGACCAAATAGTGCTGATTCCTAGCTTGGCATAACAGTTTTGACTTGCTTCACAATAGAAATCATCTGTAAGAAAAGAATAACTGGATTCACATTTTATTAGCAAGAAGAATTAGTATAGTGCGCAACTATGGCATACAACTTTTTCTTATACCTTACGAAGCCGAAATATAGCTTAAAAAAGCTGAAAAAAGTTGACTATTTAGATGTAGGGGGAAAGGGGTGCATTTAGCTTCTGCTATCAGCTTGTAAACAGGCCCTATCTCCAAAATCATGAAAGGCAACCAGGCTGAAAATTTTTCACAGGAAGGCAAGTCCGAATTTTATATATATCCTATTGTTTAGTTTGTGGACTCAATAAATCGGGATTTAGGCTACTCTCACAAGATTATTTTGCTACTCCATCTGTATAATACAACAAGGTTGGTTGTCTATTTGATTGGATCATAGAATCGAATCAAAGTCCTAAGATCTTATTGAAAACAAAAAAAAATTAAATAAACACTTCTTAAAAAGTATATACAAAATAAGCCAAAATTATAATGACAAGAAGTGAAGATATTGTGAAAAATATATACTCTAGGTAAAATGTAAATATATTATTATACAATAGAAAACTCGATACTAAAAGTTTTACCTTTCATAAAAAAAATAATGTGAAGAGTAAGAGTTTTATAATAGAACGCTTTGCAATCTACAACAAAGTTTAAAAAGAAAGTTAGAATATTTAACAAAATTAAATTTTAAAATAGATTGAAAACTCAAAAGAGCAGCTTGGCCCAACGATAAGACGTGTCATTAGAGTCCTGGTGGCACTAATTGAATTCACAAAAATAGCCTTTCCAAAAATTGTTGCCCTCCCCAGACCCCCTAAGAAGCATGTTCTTTTGGCTAGTTGCAATATTTGAGTGTCTATTTCCCCCACTCTTTTTTTCCCTTAATTTAATTGATTCAATTTGGCTTATTTTTTTTATTCATTTGGACCACGTCAAATTGGTATTTAAGCAACAAATATAAAATTTACCACAAGATAGCTCATACAGTACAAAACAATACTTACAAATTGGATCAGGTAAGAGTGAATCCGAATTCCACGATTCTATAAGATTCAACTATTAGAATCGAAAGATCCTAAACAAGAAATTTTCTAAATGAAATTTTCTAAATAATCCGGATTGATTATGCCTAAATGGGTCGTAAGATGGTAGGATCGTAAAATCTAGATCATGATTCTGATAGCCATGCTCTTGACATTCAAAAAATGGATTTACGAACCCTATATAGAGTATAATAATAAGAAAGATTATATGATAATTTTTGAATAATTTAATGATCGATAGAATTTGGACTCATATCTCTTGTTGTGAAAACAATGTCTTCCTAATTAGATGGAGTTATCATTAAGAACTATTTTATAACAAGTTTGTACTTAATGATTCTCCATTCGATTTGATTCACAATATGATTCTCAATTTGACAACTATGAATAATTTTTCAAATAAATATGGATGTGCAAAAACAATTTTACAATGCATAAATAATAAATCTACTCATCATAAATTCCAAAATCAGGTTTAACATCAAAAGCAACTACCTGATGCAATTCTCTTAGATGCACACTGTTAGACCATGTTTGATACACGTTATAGAGCGGGGATCCAGAGGGGAGGGGGATTGTCAATCGCATGGATCCACATGTTTTTTTCTTGTTTACTATAACGCATTTGATTGGGAAAAAGAAGTGTGATTGCTAGCGCAATGGTATTGCTAATTTCATAGCCATGGGATCAGCCACATCACTCAATCTGATTGTCAAAAATAATTCAATGTTATATCCTACCATAATCAAACATAGTACAACTCCCACAATATATATAATCTGAAAGTTGTTGCCAAAATCCAAAGTTAATAGAAAATCAAAAGCGGATCATTAATATATACTGTTTAACTGTCTACAAAAGTTCATTCACATTTCCTTATCATGAAACCCAGCAAAATAAATTTCAGAGATGCATACTAATGGAAATGTTTTGCAGCATACAGCACAAAAAGTATTTTAACATGACAATCACCTATTCCTTCTTCCTAATCTCTCCCAATCAAAGCAAAAAGTTGGACGAACAACAAAACAAGCAAATTAAATAGACTTAAAGGAACTAAGCAGGAGGAAAGCACGCTATTATCTTAGACAATGGCTCAAATGGGCAAAAACCATAGTTAGCATACCTTTGAAGACATAAGTAAAGATGCTACTCTTTTCACCACTAAAATTGATCTACTCTATTTTTTCACAAAGAATTTAGATATTATAAAAAAAACACCTCACATCTTATTTCACTCCTTGCAAACATAACCTTCCTAATACAAAACTCTGGCCCCATAGTACAACTTCAACCCTAAAGGAAACAAGATTTCTTATATTAAATAATGAAGGGCTTGGGTAATTAAATAGGTAAATAGACAGTACTGTTAAAAGATGGAAAGTAAGGACATAAGGGGAAGGGGAAGGGGAAGGGGAAGGGGAGGGGGACCTTCTTCATATGCTCAAAGAACGCCACATTTCTCTAGCATCAGATTGGACAAAATCATCTAATTGCATTTATATTCATAATTTTTTTTTGGATAAGTAATTTATGTATTCAGAATATCATCTATACATATAACACTTACGAATAAGCATTATGACCAATTAAGAGCATTAATGTAAAATACAAAAATAATTTATTAACATACCTCTCCAACATATAGCTCCTCTTCTACTTCTTCTTCCAGTAGCTTACAGAACCAGTTTGAACCCCTTTGACAGGAAATTATCCCTGCAATAAACAAAATCCAACATATGATGCATCAAGTGACATGAAGGTCACTTAGGAAAGAGGCATTAGAATTTTCATGTCTTACTGCATATAATACTACTGGATGAGAACTCCAGGCTTCCATAAGCAACTGAAATGCATATTGAATAAATGCAGTAGCACTCCATATACGCCTTATACACATTTTGTTATTTGAAAAGCCATACACATTATATGTATTCTAGAAGACGTGGGAAATCATCCCTGGAGATGGTAGGAAAGTTAAATTCTGGCATGACCTAATGTGGGGATGTTCCCTTATCGGTGGGGCTTTTCCCGACTAGTTTCAGATTGCAGTGGATAAGGATGCCTTGGGTCTCAAACTACATAAGGATCACTAATACATCATTGTATTTACATTATTAGAATTTGGAGGCAGTGGGTGACTCATTCACATTCTTTATGAGGAGAATGGTGCATGGCCAAGGGAGAATAGGATGGTGTGGAAAGCTAATGGTGAGAGATTATCTGTTAGATCGCTAAAATGGGATTCAACGGGTACTACCGACGAGTCATTCCATGGAACAATATCACGAAGGTTGGGGTTCACATGAAGGTGTTTGTATGGACTGCAACCTTAGATTCCATCTTGACTTTGGACACCTTGGGAAAGCGGGTGAGATGCTTCCTAATTGGTGTTACATGTGTAGTGGCATTCCAACAAGGTTAGTCTTTTGGAGTTTACTATTTTCTATTTTTCAAGTTTGTTAGGTCATGTTGCACATAATGATTCATCTCTATGACAGTCGAGCAATAGGCCATAAAAGGGTAAAAAAGCCATGGATGGTGGTGCCTTTGTGCTTCAAGGGTTACATTTGGAAGGAACAAAACCGCCGCACCTTTGAGGATGTAGAATTGGATATGCATGGTCCCAAAAAAGCTCATTTACGATTACATTGTTCTCATTTTTGGTTACATGAGAAGTTTTGTGACTGTTTAGTCGCTTCTATTGATTTCATAAAAAAATAAAAATTCTTTTGTTGATGTGATATAGCTAGCTTTTCTTTAATACTCCTACTATGTAGATGTTGAACCCCATTTCTAGAACCTTTAATTGAATTGTTTACCTATGAATATATATACATAAATATAGCTTAATCTTTTCTTCTTCTTTTTTCTTTTTTGTCGCATGGTATATGTCAAAAAAAAGTTTGTGGGGGTTAGATGTTAGTTGGGAAGGGAGAATAAAAAAGGGATATAACTTAATCTAATTGCAAATAGCATAATTTTTACCATGTCAACTTCTTTTTTTTCTTTAAACTTTTTTAAATGTGGCTTGCATAAAACCAGCAGTGATTGCAAGATATATCCTCGTGTCACAAATATGTCTATAATAAACAAGACAAAAGCACAACAAAGGAAGCAATTAGAATTTAAAATTTAAAAAAGCTAATTGACTTGGATGTTAACGTACATATTCCTCTCTTCAAGTTCTTGTTGCTTTTTACCATCACCTTCACTACCACCACCATCAAGTGAAACAAGGCTTCCCACACACATCTCTACTTGAAACAATTCTTTTATACCACGAACCTTAACTTTCTTGACAGTCATCTTCCTTTTAAAGTCATACCAAATAAGCATTTCAGTGTCTTGCTCCAAGAGTACTTCCTCGCCGCTCTTTGAAAAAGCAACAGGCCTCACGTAATGAAAAGACCTAATCACACCCAGTTGCCCCAACGAAATTAACTTCGTCCAAGATTCCTTCACCCCGTAATCCTTCATCACCCATATATCAACACGGGTTAAGTAATAATTGCAAAGCACCGAAAGGAAGCCCCCAAGTCCCTCCACATTCATTACAAAATCTGTATCCGAATACTCGGGTTGTGGCACCATCCTATATTCCTCGCGCACAAGATCAAAAGCAACAATCAACCCGGCCTTTCGAATCTCGGGTTCTTGAGTCACAACCCAGTGCACAGCACCGCTAGCTAGTACACCACCTGTTCTTTTCAAGATAGGGTAATTAGGGTTATGAGGGAATTTCTCAACCCTATGCCATGAATTCGAGTTCAAGCTATAAACTTTAACCTCATAATGAAAAGAATTACCATCCTTCCCTTTGAGCACCACAATCCTCACAACCTTATAATCATCAGTAACACTATCATACCCAAATCCATAAACCCGGCTCTCGTAAAACCTAGAATGGTTTTGGAACTCAATCGAAGCGTAAGGCAATCTTCGAGACTTCCTCGTCGATGGGTTCCACAAAACCATAGTATCCAAAGCGTTCGACAAGCAAATCAAGCCATTACATGAACCCCATACCTCGGTCTCATAGTCCTGACACCTCAAGGGATGATGATCGAGCTTCACAGCCTCTACGGTAGTGCCATCGAGCGAATCGAAATCAACAGCAAAAAGATGATCATCTCTCATAACGAGACAGAGATTGGACTTGGTTTCGATCGATCGATTGAGATGCAGTTTGACGAAATCGGAGCTGTCAATTAGGGCACGCCATGGAATGGATACGGATCTAAATCGGAGAAGAGGCTCGACGGGTAATCGGGAGAGGATGTCGGAGACGACTTCCTCCGGGAGGTGAGACATCGTATTAGGGTTTTGAGTTTCTGGAGAGAGAGAGAGAGAGATTTGTGATGAGTCTTACAAGCCTAATAGTACTTTTTAATCCTATCTCAAACTAAAGAGAAAATGATTCACTTACATAATTTTTTTTTCAAATAATAAAATTTAAAAAATTAATCCATTTTCAAATATTCCCTTAAAAATATTTATACATTATGTTTTAACATCTTACTAAAAAAAAATTGTAAAATATATATATATATGTAAATATAACAGTGTTATTATTTTTATATATGATAAATGTTGTGTGGAAAAGAGGTTTTGGTCTCCGCCAAATGTCTATGGATTGGCCTCTACTCAACCCCAAGTCTACTTCCAGCACATGGTCAGCAAAAATGATCGCTTTTAACAACTCCTTTCTAACTTTTTTTTATCATTATTATTGCCCCGTTTGCGATGAATGTTGGGATTAAAATAGTTATATATGATAAAATAATTTATTTTAATTAAATAAGATAAAATATTATATTTAATTCATAATTATTTTATTTTTTTTCTTATAAAAATCAAAAAATTTATTCTAAACGAGACGTTTAGTTCTAAATAAAAATAGTCAAAAAATCAAAAAAAAACCAACTCACATCCCAAACAAACTCTATTATATTTGGTTTCAGTTTTCTGAATTCAGTTTCTGAAAATTGAGTTTTTTATTTTTCGTGTCTTTTGTTTTAGTGAATATTTTTAAAATTTTAAACAATTTTTTTACTTTTTTAGATGTACATTACTTAGATATATCTAAATAGTAAATCATTTGTGAAAAATAATTTTTAAAATTAATAAATACACACAAATATAAAAAATGTACTGAATTTTTATATTTTTTATATTTTTAGTATTTAGTGAATTTTTTTTAAAAAAAATCACAAATATTATACTTTCTAAATGTATTTATATTAAGTGTGTCTAAAGATTAAAAAAATGCTTAAAATATTAAAAAAAATCAGTAAAAACAAAAAATATAAAAAATGAAAAGGTTACTTTTAAAAAGTGAATTCTAAAAACTGAAAATAAACAAAAGAATTATTATTATTATTTTTTTATATGTCTATGGATTGCACCCTACGGGATTTTTCTATGATATATAAAGGTGGTTTTCATGTACCATATATAAATAAATTTGGACCATTAGATTTAAAAGTAAAATAAATTTAATCATTGATTAGTAATAATTAAAACTAGGTTAAGAAATCTAGATAGTTTTATAAAAAAAACACGGTAGTTTTCAATGATTTTGAAATCAAAAGGTGATTTTGATTTTTCTATGATATATAAAGGTGGTTTTCATGTACCATATATAAATAACTTTGGTCCATTAGATTTAAAAGTAAAATAAATTTAATCATTGATTGGTAATAATTAAAACTAGGTTAAGAAATAGATAGTTTCATAAAAAAAACAAGGTAATTTTCAATGATTTTAAAATCAAAAGGTGGTTTTGATTTTTCTATAATATATAAAGGTGGTTTTCATGTACCATATATAAATAAATTTGGTCCATTAGATTTAAAAGTAAAATAAATTTAATCATCAATTGGTAATAATTAAAACTAGGTTAAGAAATTTAGATAGTTTCATAAAAAAAAACAAGGTAGTTTTCAATGATTTTGAAATCAAAAGATGGTTTTGATTTTTCTATGATATATAAAGGTGGTTTTCATGTACCATATATAAATAAATTTAGACCATTAAATTTAAAGGTAAAATAAATTTAATCATTGATTGGTAATAATTAAAATTAGGTTAAGAAATCTAGATAGTTTCATAAAAAAAACAAGGTAGTTTCAGTGATTTTGAAATCAAAAGGTGATTTTCAACTTACCACAATAACTGAGTACACTTATTATTTGATATGATTATACTTACTATTTTTAAAAACTATACTTGCCATTCAATTATTAATAAAATATACTTAAATTGATATTCAGGTAACAGATAAACTTAAAAAATTAAGTTATAATAAATTTCCAAAACCTCTAAAATAAATATAAAATTTATGAAATAGAATTTAAGAAAAAAAAATACAAAATAAATTTAAATTTTATACATTTTATTATAATTGATTACATTTTATGAAATATAATTTTTTTTTTTTATTTATCTACTGAATGACAATAAATGAAACCTAGTTTCCTTTTCATTTACCTCACTTGAAAATAATAAATGCAATTAATGAAGAAATATAATTAATAAAATATAAGAAAATTTAAAATTTATTTGAGGATTCTATGAACAAAATTTTATGTTTATTTTAAAATTTTTTGAAGATTTGAAGATAAGATTGTTGTTGATTTGGAACAATTTAGATAAGAATCTATGTCTATGTAGATTCTATCTCTTTTTTACTTTAACTTTCCATGATACTTTAAATTTATAAATTTTAATGTTTTGTTTGAACAACATTTCACCTAGTTAAAAGAAAAATTATGAGATTTAAGTGGTAAGGAAAAAAAAATCAAGTTTGATGAAATAGTAAGTGCAATCTTAAGTTTTGTTTAAATGATTGATTAATCAGGTCTACTAAAATAGTAAGTAGAGTCCCATTGAGTAGCAATCATTGTTTAAGTAATGAGTCAAGTTTGATAAAGCAGTAAGTAGAATTTAATTGGGTAGTAGGTGTTGTTCAAGTGATGAGTCAAGTTTGATAAAGTAGTAAATAGAGTCTCATTGAGTAGTAAATGTTATTGAAATGAGTGGTAAGTCAAGTCTAATAAAGTAATAAGTAGAGTCTCATTGAGTAATAAGTGTGATTTAAATGAGTAGTAAATAAGTCTGATAAAATAGTAAGCATGGTTTAAATGAGTGGTTTCTAACTTACTACAACAACTAAACACATTTATTACTTGATATGGTTGTACTTACTATTCCACAAAACTACACTTACCATTCAAACATTAATAAAATGCACCTAACCTCTAAAATAAATATAAAATTTATAAAATAGAATGTAAAAAAAAAAAAAAAAAGTTTGTACAAAATAAATATGAAATTTATAAATTTTATTATAATTTTTTACATTTCATGGAATATGATTTTTTTTTTATTTATCTACTTAATGGCAATGAATGGCAATAAATGAAATCTAGTATCTTTTTCATCTACCACGATAAATGCAATTAATGAGAAATATGATTAACAAAATATAGGAAAATTTCAAATTCATTTGAGAATTCCATAAATAAAATTTGATGTTCATTTCTAAAACTATTGAAGGTTTTAAGATAGAATTGTTGTTGATCTGGAACTCCTTAGGTAAGTTTTTCTCTTTTTACTTTCACTTCCATTATATATTGAATTTATAAATTTTTATGTTTTGTTAGAACAACATTTCACCTAGTTAAAAGAAAAATTATGAGATTCAAGTGGTAAGAAAAAAAAGATAAAGTTTGATGAAATAGTAAATGTAGTCTTAAGTTTAGTTTAAATGACTGATAAGTCAAGTCTAATAAAGTAGTAAGTAGAGTTTCATTGAGTAACTCTTTGGTTTTTTGGCCTTTTTGTGAGAAAAAAAATGAAATGATTATGATTTAAATATGACATTTTGTCTTATTAACTTACTTAGTCTATTTTGTCTTTTTGTGTTTTTTTTTAGTCTCAACCCAAGCCTAACCCACTTACCAAGAGACAGCTAAGTAGTAAGTGAAATTTAATTAAGTAGTAGCCAAGTCTATTTAAGTGGTATCTTATTGAGTAGTAAGTCATATTTGATTGAGTAATAAATGGAGTTTGATTGAGTAGTAGTGGTGATATGGTGATGGTGGTGGTGGTAGCGGCATGATGGTGGCGGTAGCGGCATGATGGTGGCAGTAATGGTATGATAGCATTGATGGTGGTGGTGTTGGCGACAGTGATGGTAGAGATAGCAGTGGTAGTCGTAGTAAAATTTTAGTGATGTTTATGGAAACAATGACAATGTTTATAAAGGTGGTGGTAGTAATAGTAGCATGGTGGTGGTGGTAGCAATGGTGGTAGTAACGGTGGTTGAGTAGTAAGTCATGTAAATTATTTTTATTTGTAAAATGATATCACATTGCTTTTAATGTTTGAATAAGTTATGAGTAATATTATTTTGTGATTATGTTATAAAATTACTTCTTTAATTTGATTTGGTTTTAAGATTTTTATAATTTCATTCTATATTTTATAACAATACTTGCAACTAATTAAGGGGTCTCATTGAATAGTAAGGTTTGATAAGTCAAGTATGATGGAGTAGTAAGTAGAGTCTCATTGAGAAATATAGAGTTTGACTGTATAATAAGTGAAATTTGATGGAGTAGTAAATGGAATCTCATTGAGTAGTAAACCATATTTGATGATACAGTAACTGAACATATAAACTTAATTACAATTAAGTGTGACAATACTTATTACTTATTATAACAATACTTACATCTAATTGAGAAGTCTCATTGAGTTGTAAGTGGGGTTTGATTTAATAGTAAGTGGGGTCTCATTGAGTAGTAAGTGAAATATGATGAAGTAAAAAGTAGAGTCTCATTAAGAAATGTAGGGTTTGATTGTGTAGTAAGTGAAATTTGATGGAGTAATAAGTAGAGTCTAAATAAATAGTAAAATTTGATGAAATAATAAGTGAACACGTAACATAGTTACAAACAATACTTACTACTTATTATAACAATACTTACAACTAATTAAGGGGTGTTATTGAGTAGTAAGTGGAGTTTGATTTAATAGTAAATGGGGTCTTATTGAGTAATAAGTGAAGTATGATGTAGTAGTAAGTAGAGTCTCAATGAGGAATGTAGCGCCTGACTATGTAGTAGATGAAGTTTGATAGAGTTGTAAGTCAAATTTGATAAAATGGTAAGTGAACATGCAAACTTGGTTATAACTAATTGTGACAATACTACTTATTATAACAATATTTACAACTAATTAAGGGGTCTCATTGAATAGTAAGTGTGATTTGATTTAATAGTAAGTAGGGTCTCATTAAGTAGTAATAATAAGTCAAATATGATAAAATAATAAGTGTGATTTAAATAAGTAGTAAGTTAAACATGATGGAGTAGTAAATGCAGTTTCATTGAGTAGTAAGGCCCCGCTTGTTTTCAGAGGTAGAATGGAGGGGATTCATAGTGTGAGGATTAATAGTGAAGGGATTGTTAGTGAGGGGATTGATAGTGAGAGGATTAAGTAAAATTGTGTTTATTTTGATGATAGTTGTTAGTGTAGGAATTGTTAAATTATTTTTATATAAAATAATAAAAAAATACAAAAAATTAAAATTAATGTTAAAAAAAAAACCCTCCACCTCCTCCATCTCAATCCTCCCTGCAACCTCCATCTTAATCCCCTCCTCCATCCTAATCCTTTCCCTAACTATACAAACAAACACAACACTAAATAGTCTCACCTCCATCCTAATCCCATTCCATCTTTTATATCCTAAAATAAACGGGGCCTAAGTAAAATATTATTAAGTACTTACCATTAATGACGACAATACTTACCATTCATTGTAATTATACTTATCAGCAAAGAGAAAAAAGAGTTTATTGATGTAAAAGCCAAACAAGTACTTCACTAAAAGAAGGAACAACGAAATTGCCCCAATGCTGGACAAGAATAACAATTCCAGCACCGTCAAGCAAAATTAGGCCACAAAAAGAAAATGGAAAAAAGATCTTGGAGTTGGAAAAAAAAGATTTAACCACCTCTTTCTTTTTCTTTTTTCAAAAATCTAAACAAAAACAATTACAACAGGAAAAGACGAAACAAATTCAAGTGAAAACAAAGTCAGAAATTACAATGACAATCAACTTAAAGAGATAAAATAAAGAAAAAATATAACAGGTGATTTCTTCATTCCTTTTCTCCTACATTCATCATCAACCAAATTAAGAAAATAAAAAATTAAATTACAAGTGTAAAACAGAGTCGGAACTACAATGATGAATGAAAACAAATCTTTTGCGGCCGGCAAGACTGATTTGGAAAATCTTTTCTGGAAACTTCAGATTTACCTGAACTAAGACCTGAATCGTTGTAAAAAGAAGGGAAAAAAATAATTAAAAAAAGCACTCAAGTGAAAAAAGCACCAAACCAAGAGAGAGAAACACAAATCTGAGAAGACTATAACCTATCACTTTCCCCATCTCTTACCACATGTAAATCTATATGTGTACTCATCTATGTTTACAAATGTGTGTAAATATTATATATATATATATGATTTTAGTGGTGAATAGGCATTAAGCCCCAAATCAAAGCTTCAGTACATATAGCTGTTTGGGAAGTGCCTAAAGAGGCTATTATAGCCTAAAAAATTTTTTTAATCAAAAAGTTACTTTTGCAAGCTTTTTCAAAAAAAAAATAAAAATAAATAAATAAATAAATAAAAATATAGGACTGCACAGTCGGCAGCTTTGTCACTTGTTCCATCAATGAACATTTTATGATTTTACCCTTGATAGCAATTTAAAAAAATATTTTTTTAAGGACAAATTTGTTATTTTAATTTCAAACATCATTTCAACACATTTTTAATACAACAACTCAAATAAAATCCATCTCATCTTCCTAAACACAAAAATTAAAATAGCCTACTAAAATAGTCACTTCCCAAACGAGGCCATTATATCATTACATGTATGATTTTAGTGGTAATTAGGTTCTCAGATTTATTCACCTTTTCTTTGTCGTTCGTCTTCTCTCTCACTGAGTGCGGTGGAGAACTCCGGTTCGACGAGGTGTTCTCTGTCTCTTGGTTCAATGCTTTTGTGGTCTTCTTTCTATTTGCTCCATCCCCTCTCTCTCTCTCTCCCTCATGTTTCAATGCTTTGATTTATTTAGGCTTGTGACCGGTTGAATCTTTGTGATTTTGGATGGTCAAGATTTAAGATTCTGATCTAAAGGTTAAAAATCATTTTCATGTATGGTACCCAAATATCACTTTTGGGTACCATAGTTAGACCTGTTCTCTACCCCAAGTCTACTTCCATCCCATGGTCAGCAAAAGTTATTTCTGACAACTCCTTTTAACCTTTTTTTTTTTTAGAAGTGCTGCAGACCCCAGTGGGGTTCGCACCCCCAGTGACGTGGCGCGCTTTCACTGGCTGAAAACAAAAAAAACAAAAAAAAAAAATTTTTTTTACCCAATCATGGAGCTACACCTCACTGGGGGTCGACCCAGTGGGGGTCTGAAACATTTTGCTTTTTTTTTCCTTTTTAATAAATTATAAATATACGATTTATTTAAAATATAAATTATTTATTATAGTTCTTGCAAGTGTTTAAACTTAATTTTAAAATTTGTATTAAAAAAAGTTTTATTTTCAAATCATAATTAAAAAATTCAAAACTCAAAACACAATTTCACACTCAAATTAATATTCTAAAATTAAACAAAACAAATTTATTTTATTATCCAAATAAAATAAATAAAAAATCACATTCACTTTTTCTTTTATTCATCAAAATATATGATAAGAAACATAATCATTTATTTTCTTGATGATAAACATTAATCATTTATTTCTTTTCTCACCTAAATATGAAACACAATCGTTTCTTTCTCACATGCCGTCACAATCCAAACGGAGGGTAAATTTCCCCAATACTCTATCTCTACGGATAAAACCTAATCCCCGAAACGAAGTTAAAGGTCAGTTGTAGGGGCTGAAGCGTTGAGCAAAGGATTGTCGTCACCATCCTCTGATTGCCCCAAAAAGGTATCGAATTCCTTCAATTGAAGCACAATTGATGTATTCAAATTAGGGTTTTGATGGACTCAAATGCGATTCGAATTCCATAAATTGCGAGATACTTGAATTAACCTTGTGGGTTCTATACGCATGCATGTATGTTTTGATATGGATGATTGATGATGGATAGATAGAAACTGATATCAACTACTGATTCAATAGAATGTTACTTGATTCCATCGAGTTTACTTGTATACAAAAGAAACGTAAGAACACACCTTTACAATTGTTTTTTTTTTTTTTTAATACCAAAATTCTGAGAATTACACCTTGTTTGATAAGCAGAATTAATAGTGAGGGGGTTAATAAGTTATAGAATTAGTGTAGGATTGATTATCCAACTGGATTAGTGGAATAAATAATTCACGCTTATTCATGTTTCTTTTGCAATAAATATGAAAATATATAATTTCCATTATAGGTTTGTTTTGCATTATTAGTTGTAGGGTTGAAAAATTCACCAGTTTTGTTGAATAGAATGTTTATTGACATTTAATCCGGATAACAAAACTTGCAGCCAAACACTAGAATGCGAGTCTCATTGATTAAAAATCCCAATCCTATTCCGTAATCCGTTTAGTCAAACAGGCCCTTAAGTAGTGTTTGGTTCACTCAAATGAGAATGAAGTGGAATGGAATGATCAGAATGTCCGCTATAATATTTCGTCCTGTAAAAAATATAAAATGCATTTCCAATGAAATCATAATTCATTATTGTAAGTGAATGGTCATTCCATAGGGAAGTTATTCCACCTTATTCTTGTGAACCAAACATTAGCTAAGTGTTATAATATTTTTAGTTAATAGTTGTCAATACAGTCTTATAGTATCTTGCTCTGACAATTTTCTTCGTGGTTGCTTGAAATTTTGGTTACAGGCATTTGAATGCTAATTTTGTTTTTGATGCCTAATTGATAGTGCTACATAGTTCATGATCATGGTCGTATTTTTTTCTTCTGTTTGAATGTAGTGTGGTTTTTCTTTTTTGCGACTGGCTACTGCATTCCTTTTGAAGCCACTCTTATTCGTGAGCACAGATATGCCATACCTTCTAAAATTGAATTAATTGACAACCAATAATATCTAATTGACTACCATAAAGCATTGTGGTTTTAATCTTATTTGGTGAAGAGAGTTTGGGATATTCCATGACAAATACATCAACGTCTGAGTAGTTCTTTAAAGAATTTATTAGCAAGAAACATGTTTTGCTCAATTAGATATACTGTTTCTCAACTTAATTTAACGAATATTATGGAGGGATAATGAAAAACTGCCGCGTGTTGAGTTCTTATATGATTGTTGTGTCATATAATCATGCTCACTATGTACTGGAAAATTGTTATTGGGTGGGTTGGAAGTTTTATCACCATGATGTGATGGAACTTTGTCTTACAATTGATGGCATAGTTTCTTCTGATTGTGGTGCCAATCAATGAGAAGCTGAAAGGATGCTACAAATTGTTTAAAACCCAAAAAGTTTCAATCGTCTGAGCTTCACCGTTGTCCTCCAAACCAATGATTTTTTAACCAAATTGCACGGGTAGTTGTCTTCATCTCACCGTTGGGATAAAGTGTTATTACAAGACAGCTGATATGGCTGCTTTCGCTAGTTTTTCAGTGAACATATCTATAGAATGTCATTGAGATATTCTGTTGAATCTTTAATGTGACAAAAGGAAAAAGAATGAGTAGAGTAAATAACATTTACAGGCCTTCATCGCCAAGGAGTTATTCCCTACTGTTTTAGGCATTATAGTTATCATTTTTATTTATTTTTTTCAACCTTTGGAGTATGGGCTATTTTTTGAGAATTTTTGGGGCAGGGATCGTTTACTTTCACTGGATTTTATCAGCAGCATAGCCATTGAAAGTATGGGTTTCATTGTCCTGTTTCTCCCTTTTGACTTCTTTTTCACTCGTTGCCCTTTTCTTTATTCTTTTCTCTTTATAGAAGTGGGGGCGCTGGCAATGATACTAAAGCATGTAAGTGTACATTTGAAGAATGCATAATTAATGGTGTAATAGTGAATGACAAGACTAGAAAGGGAAAGATTACATGGGGAACCTGTACTGCAAACCCTAGGAGTATCTTTTGGCACAGGTTTTATCTGAATTTTATTTTATTTTATTTTATTTTTTTTTTTTGAAGTTAAAAAGTTGATGATGTTGATGACACATTATGAGTACCAATGCTAAACAAATAATCAAATGGTAAAGCAGATGCTAATTAGAATACTTATTAGAAAATTAAAATCTCATGTTGTAACGCCCCGCAAATCAACCTTCTAAATCATGTTTACTTGGGTTTTTACCCAATGTAGAAATATATGAGAGAGAAGCGAATCCATAATAAATAAATAAATTCCAAGATTACCTCTTCCCCATTGAACTATTCCAGTAATTACATCATTATTTGTTCACATTCATCAATAGAATAAAATAGTTCAAAAGACAGGAGGTAGTATATAAAGGGCCAAAAAGGCAGACATTTTCTCAAGGTCTGTCCTTGAATACACAAAAATGGAATTCTAAATTCCCATACACAAAAATAGCCCGAGCCTTCAACATATAACATCAAAAGAGAGCCTCTGTGCCCCCATCCAAAATCTTTTTCCAAGCCAATCATTGAGGTGGCGTGTCAACATCGTTTCTTAAAAGGTGGTTAGTTTGGATGAGCTAGTGCTCAGTAGGAAATACATTTAACAAGTTATATAATCAATTGAAATACATATGATCATGATATGCAAGTGTTGAAAGAAAAGAAAATTTCAAGTCCATTTCCTTTCAAATCAAAATGCCAAAGCAGGCAAGGATAATAACAATTCTCAACCAAAACATGGAGTGTAAATTCGTTATGACGTCTCGATACCAAGTCATAACCCACACTCATTTAATTATCTATATATATATTTAGAAATACTATCACACATTTGCCGACTCCAGAAACGGCGGGGCAATGGGCACCCAAGATTTTACGTTTCCACATTTACCGACTCCAGAAACGGCTGGCTCATGGACACCCAAAATCACATTTTTTACATTCGCCGACTCTAAAAACGGTAGGCTCATGGACACTCTAAAATCTTTTCCACATTTGTCCGGCGATATGCACAAGACAGGGCAATTGGGCATCTTGACTCCCCGCCTGGGTATCAAATACAACACACAACCCATTACCAACGACCTAACTCAACTATCCAAACTCATACACTATTTACCCCATTTCCAAAACTTCCCACTTATTGATGTAATCGTTGGATCATAAGAAAAATTATGCTACATACAATGCATAAATTTTCCAAATACATTTTCCGTATGGTTTATTCAACTCGCAACAACATAATAATATTTATCACATTATAAATTCTTCAATTTCATCATTTCATCATTTCTCAATCTTAAGGATTTTTTTCTACAAGTTATCAAAAGTCCATATTTCAATACCAAAGTAAACTCAATGCATTCAATTTCACTATTCAAGAGTCAATTGAACAATCCCCTTTATCAATTGAATTTGAAAACTAGGGTTTCATAAAATTTCGGGCTTTCCTTTCATTTGCATATAGGAAGTCAATATTCATCATCAACATCAAAATCCACAAGAAACATTTACAATCTTTCTCAAAATCATTAGGCACAAGCCCCCCCATTAGTTTAACAAATTCACTTTATTTAACAAAAAGATCTCATGCATTATTATAACTAGGATATTACCACATATGTATCTCAAATCAAGAATATAACAAGTTAAAAGTACCTCTACCTCGAAATGATAGCTAAGAGTTGAAGACCCAACAAAAAAATTTTGATAAAAACACGATCCAATTGGTGAGAATCTTGAATCAAACTTGCTCTTCACTTTTCTTGAAGGATTTAAGATTAATCTTTTAGTAAAACTTGAGGAAATCAAGTGTTTTTAGGGTTAGGGTTCGGAAAAGGGTGATAGAGAGAGAGAGAAGGGTTGGAAAAAGTGAGAGAGAAAAGAGTTTGATGGACTTTTAAGTGTGTTGTCCCGACTAGACCGCTCGAGTGATAGACACAATACAAAGAGACCGCTCGAGCAAACTTTTCACCGCTCAAGCGGTAAACGCAAGGTTCCAGAAGCTTTGTAGAATTACAGTGAAAATACGGAGAGCCTAAATTCTATGCTCGAGCAACCACTTCATAGCTCAAGTGGTCTCGCCTGCAAACAGGCAAGATACGGAGAGCTTTGCATCTACGCTCGAGCGACCGAATGACCGCTTGAGCGGTCACCTAGAACAAAATGTTACACATGCTTTAATGGTAGAATATTTGATTAGGAGATAGATTTCTCAATTGAAGGAAAGAAAATAAAATAAGATAAGCTAAGTTTATAATGTAGTTGGATTGAATCCAATATGTTGTGATGGGAAGGCAGTGGTTGGAATTTGAATGAGGTTTCCTTTTGCAAGGTTCAATTCCCTGTCCTATAATGGGCTAAATTCTCTGTTTACTGCAGTGTTGGATAGTTCTTTATGCACAATAGTTTTGTACTTTGTGGAAAAAAAAAATTATTACTTGTTTTTGTTGAGTAGTGGGGTTGGGGAAGCAGAATAGTATGTCATTAGGGTGCTTAGATTCCATTGTATAGCAGTGGTAAATGCCTATTCTTTATTTTCTCGGGTACTTGTCATTTATCGACTAATATACATATATGACTGGGATTTGCTTTACTAGTGAATTTTATTTGATTCATGTTGATTCACACACTTAAGTAGCATGCTGATGGTATGGAACAGTTTCTTTTGTACCAATTGAATAAAAAACAGAGTTTAGATGCTGATTCGCTGAATTCTATTACAGGCAGCAAAATCCCACAATTATTGTAATGGAATTAGCAGACAAGGCCGTTGGGTTTCTGTTATCAATTGTCAGCCTATCCATATTCACTTATTATACTTTTTGGGTCATCATCCTGGTCAGTTTACATTCCATCCAGTTCAAAATTGATGTTTCAAACTTGAATAAATTTGTTGTTTACTTTCTATTTCTATGCAATTTCAGCCATTTGTTGACGATGATCACTTTATCCACAAGTACTTTCTTCCCCAAGAATTTGCCATTCTCATTCCTGTACTTGCTGGTGTGGCACTTCTCTGCTTCTTGTCTGTCTTTGTTGGGTTTGTGATGCTCAAGTCCAAAAAGAAGGCGGCATGATGCTTACTATGACAGCAGTTTTTAATTGATTTTGAAGACGGCTTTTAGCTATCTGACATCTTGTAGTTTTAAGATGAGAGCAGCTCCTAGGATGTGTGTGCGCGAGTGCATGTGTTTTTCCTCATATACTATCTTGATTCTTGAGTACCATTGAGTCTTCTCGAATTGTTTTTATTTCAGTTGTCGTAGTTACTTTGACGTGTAGGTGACTCTGACTGTTACGTATCATTATGATTTGTGATAGCATATACCTCTTTTTTCCTGTTCAAAGTTATCTGTTTAGTTGAACATGCATGTTCAGGATCAGAATTAGAGTGTTGTATGGTTTTCTACTTTTTGTTAGTTTTTGTTTTTTGTTACAGTATGGCTTTCTACTTCAAACTCGGATAGCTCTTCCAGATTAGTTTGACAAGGACCAACTTTGATGAGATTTTGGAGCATAGATATAATCAAATGCTTGATTTGAGTAATTCTGTATTTATAGGATAGTACTATACTTGAATGGAATTCGTCTGATTAGTTTGATGTCATAAGATTCACAACTTGGGTTTATTTGAGAAGTAGGCTACCCATTGTGCCTTCACATGCTTTACCATGAAACTCTGCAAATAGTTGCATTATCTTGATGCAGGAATGTAATTAACAAACAAGGATCACGCATGGGTGTTGATGCAAATTTGTTTCAAAAGTCTTGGCTAGTTTAAATGGGTGGTGCGAAGTTAGGAGGCAAGTACATCAGGCTAATATACCATATGGGGCTGGTGGGATCAATATTCACTTTTGGGACCGGGGCGGCTCAAGAGATTTTGGGGCCTAAGGGATAAAACTAATAAGCACATAGCATTAGTAAAACTAGAAGATATATTGTAAGACTAATTGCAAATTCATTTTTTTTTAATATCAAAAAAAATATAGAACAAACACTTTTTCCTTCATTAATATTAGATTTTTGAGGTGGATGAATTTTTACAATCAAATTTCATTTTATCTCTATGTACGATCATCTCCTTGGCATTTAAAAATAAACATGTGGACTAACATGTACTATTTGTGCCGTTAGCAACTTACGTGAAAAAATTAAAATATTTTTATATATAAGTAACATTATTATTGAAATTATGGCTATTTTCGTTATTTTTTTAAGAATTCAAAATGCACTATACCACTCGTGGTTTTACTCCACATGTGGTTTATCCAGACTTTTGGAGATTAGTAAATTATTCTTCTATGTGGAGGCACGTGTTTCACACTTAGTGTCGTTTTGGGAATAAAATAAAAAGTCACGTTTTTGGACAAAATGTCTAAAAACGCAAGTGCCAAAAACGTAACAAAATTGGTTTGGGAAGTGTCAAAAACACAAGTGTAAAATTACAAATTAGGGTCTATGACAAAAAAATAAAAAAATAAATTTCTTAGTTTGGGTAAAGATATTTTGATCATTTTAATTTGATTTGACACCATAAATAAATAATAAATTAAAAAGCAAAAAATTAATTTTTGACCAACTTCTCAAATCACTTTTTAAAAAGTTAAAAAATTTGATAAAATGTCAAAAGTTAACTTTTTATCAACTTCTCAAAACACTCCTTGATGACGGTGCACTTTAGTATACTAGCCATTGGAAGCTATGTACATATTTTCAAATATTAATAAGAAGCAAACCACGCATGAAATAAATTATAAGAGGTAAAATAGTGTTTGCTCAATTTTTATACTAAAAAAGGGATTTTAGTGTTAATATAACAAATTGATTATATTGGATACGTTAGATGGTCTTGCTTTTTTGGTTGATGAGATAAAGATAAGTTCTATAGATTATTGAATTACAACTAATAGTAAAAAATTAAAATTTTTTAAAAATTTATGGCCCTTTAAAAATATTCTAAAATTTTGAGGCCTTTTCAAAGTTTGAAGCGTAAGACCATCTCTAGCTATTCACCAAATTCATTATCAAATTTAAATTTTGTGAAAATTTTTTACTTTTTATGCTCCAACAGTTTCACTAAAACGGTATCAAATTAAGAACACCCCAAACTTTTCACCAAACTAAAGATCTCTAGCTCCTTTCACCAATTTACTGTGTATAGCCGTTGAGTGTGGACCCACCGGACGTCCGGTCGGATGTCCTACCAGATGACCACTTCAAGCAAAATTTTGTGAAAAATTTACACTAGGAGGTCAACCACCTTGTCGAGCACCTTTGTCTTTTCCCGGTTCTGTTTCTTACTTGCTTTCTTCCCCAGTGTTTCACCTCCAAAAGCAACAGACTTCGACTTCAAGGGCAAACATCTGAGCTTGCATCCATTTTGAAGGACATGTGCTTAAAATAATTGGAGAGTCAATCACAAGAACATCATTCATAAGTTTTGAAAAGAAATCATTTCCTCTACCTACAAAAAAGCCTGGATACAAAATTTAATTTATTCATTTCCCTCTAATTGTGATTATTTATCTAATTTATTCATCATTTCCACATCCAAAATATTGCTACTAATAATATATTTATTCAATCAAACATATTAAGATCGATGACATGAATTACCAAGAGAAACACACATATGAAGCAGTGATGAGAGCTTGCTTATGAAGGGAGAAAAAAAAATTCAATGCCTTGTCTGGTCGATCGTATGGTCGTCCTGCCGGATGTCCCTGCCCTTTTGATGCAAGCTACAATGTACCTTTGGAACAATTCATATCAGATTGAGGAAATCATCCTTTTTTTACTCAGATTTGATGAAAAAAATACTGAACCATTGGAGATGCTCTAAAGCACTAGCTTTAGTTGCCTTGTGCTCAAACTGACCCTGTTTGACACAGGATTTTATGTTCCCAATTAAGGGTTTGTTTGGGATAATCTAAAAAAGATAAAAAGTTACTAAAAAAACAAAAAAATTTATACTATTCACAAACATTGCGCGGGAAACTGTGGCTTAAAATCAGAGGGTAAAAAGACAGAATTACCCTTGTTGTTGTCCCTTCCTCTGACATGTAAAGGTGGGAAAAAAAAAAAAATAGAGTGCACTGAACAATGATGGACACAATTCACTGACATGCACGAAAGCAAATGTGCATGTTAGAAGGGTAGTTCAGTAATTTTGGTATTTCATACAATATTTTAATACACTTTTTTTTTTATAAAAAGTTATCCCAAACAACCATCTTTTTTTTTCTTTTTTTTTTTTAGTTAAAAAGCCAAAAAAATATATTTATATGGTTCATCCCAAACAACCCCGAATCAATACACTTTTCACCATTAAATTATGTCTCGAAATTTACTTGTTTTAAAATTCTCATATATGATTCTACTATTAGAAATGTATTGAGACAAGGGGCAAAGAGACTGGACACGGATTATTTGACCCTTGCTTTTAGTTATGCTGTATCTTTTTGACCACCACACTACAATTTGTTTCATACATGGAGACAACCAAGCAATTGATGAATACTTGGGGGTCTATCTGATGAAGAAACTCACACAATCTATTTTAGAAAGGGACGGCAAGACAAAAAAAGAGGTCTTCCTTCCACTCTGTCTTCTTCTTCTACATTTTCTTGTCCATCCTTCACTGGGCTTCTTCATTTCTAATGCTTTTTTGGTCTGAGGGGCGTTTTGACAAGTTGATAAAAAGTCAACTTTTTGACTTTTTTTGGATTGGATCGCACTACCTCTCTAACTTTTTTACACAAAAAAGTTAGAAAAGTCCCAAAAAAGTCAAAAAACTAATTTTTTACCAACTTCTCAAAGCACTACTCACTTGTGTAGAGTAAACTTCAAATATTTGCCGTTATTTACAAATCACGTGAATCAATTAAAACCAAACACAACATTAGGAGAAGTCGAATCTAGAATGAAGGCTTTATTATTCATCCCAAGACAAATCCCTCGATTTGAATTCAAATCCAGAGAGAGAATTTTAGTGGATCGATTCAAGTCACAATTGGTTTGGAAATAGATGAAAGGCCATCAACAAGCAACATAATGGATTCAAATTACATTTCATTTTTCTATATCCATCATGTCATCTAAAGCATCTACTGCTAAAAATTATGACCACAAGTAAAATTGTTTTTATTTGTTCCCTTTTTCTTTGATAAAGTGAATTGAGCATCTTTTTATTTATTTTTTTTGTCGAAAACTTTTGGAAGTTTTTCAAGCTCTTCTCTGCAGATGGGCAGCACTAGTTTTTCTTCAATCTCTTGTTCCCAAATTTTAGCTTTCTTATTTGTTGGCTTGTATGATAATTTTTATGATGCTTTGTATTTTTGTTTCTTATGAATGAATGGTGCTTTTATTTCTACCCACACAAAAAAAAAAAAAACCTTGTTAGGATCTGATTAGGCAACTAGTTTAGATATACAATGAGAGTTTAGTCTAATAGAAGGCTTCCATTAGTGCCAAAATGAGGTTGGATCCTCTGTTCAGTCCTTGTCTCCTCCTCATTCCAAACCATCTCTACTATATGATGGGTTTCTCTGGCTTGATTGTGTGGTGGAGAAGGATCTTGGGACAACGAAAATCCATACAGAGAAACACCTACCACCCAAAACGAGGTTGGATCCTGTGTCTAGGTCCTTTTTGTCTCGACACTTATCTACCATATGATGAGTCTCTTTAACCTAATCATGAGGTAGATGGGGTCTTGGGATAGGAGAGGTGCGGACAGAAGATCCATGTTTCCCAAAACAAGCGTGGATTCTCTATCTGGATCCTCTCTTGTCCCCTTGTCTCAAACATCTCTATCATATGGGTATTTCTGACCTGATCATGTAGTTAGAGAAGACTTGGCACAAGGGATAGAAAAGATGCGGATAAAAACACCTTTCACCCTATGCATATCTTGACAAAAAGTAATTTCAGCTCTCTATGGACTTCATAATTTTTGATGTGGATCCGGGTCCTGCCAATTGCCATGACAAACTGTGTTCAAGAAGCATAAGAAGATCACACACAAGATGTTGAAAATGGTCCATTGTGAAAAATTGATTGACCGGCCTCAATAAAATCAAAGCTATAAACAGGTGGCTGGGACATTCAAAGCACTGAGAACCTCAAAACAAAAGGATGTTCTTATCTGATTTGAAGAAAAATACAAAGACAAACCCAAAAAAACTCGGATAACCAAGAAGGAAAATCTAATTTTCACAACGAGAAAAATGGCTCACGGATGAATGATTTTGAGTCTTGCAATGCAGAAGATGAGAAAATTGGATTATGTGTGTGAGTACAAGAAGAAACTCCATCCTTGCATTATCAAACTTCTGCATTATGTGCATGTCTTGAACAGAACAGAATCATCTGCTGGCAAACTGTGTTTGGGAAGATAGAAATCTGCAAAAGAATGCATAGTTTCAAAATTATGAGTGAAAAAGAGAAGAGATCTTGCCAAAATTTAGTTATTGTTTCAAGTTCACCATGAATCACGTTTTGATGATCTGAACGATTCAGTTTATAAAGCACTCATAACCATTTTATTTTATCACGTTTGTCTCCAAAATATAGACAAGTATGTTTTTGAAAATACGCCATCTATTTTTTTTAAAGACAAACACGCTAAAACACAAGTGCTACGATTATCAAATCGACTATTTTGTTCAAGGATAAAATATACAGATGGCTCTATAAAATAAACGGTTCAAATTATCAAAACGAGATCTATAGTAGTCCCCAAAGGCATCTCAAGTTCTTTCAAGTTAAATTTTGAACTTGAGAGAAATTTTACCCTATTCTTAAATCTTGTTTCAAATTTGGCAACCTTTTTATCTAGCCATTTGAAAACACAATCTACAATTTTAGTAATAGCAAGTGTTTTAACTAGTCATTAAAACAGCTCTCATGTGTTTGCTCAACGTTGAACTTTCGGAGGCAAAAGTAGTTAGTAAAACATACATATAACATGCCAAAGTTTAGTAGTAGTTTTTAATGCCTGTGTTTGGAACTTGAAAAAAAAAAGAAAAAGAAAGGATGGAAATGCAAAAAAAATTGGAGTTAAATCTCTGTCACTTTTCCCTTTTCTTTCTTTTAACGAAGTCCTCCTCAAAGTCAAGATTCAACCACAATCATTGCTTCATCAAGACCATTAATTTGTGCAACATCATCCCTTACAATGCTAATATTTACAATCATTATACCATACTAATATTTACCATCATTGCTTTCCTGTTATATTGCAGAAAATGTTAAAGAATCACATTCACTCTGTTTGGTTTGAGTTTTTTGAACTAAGTTTTTGAAAAATTGAGTTTTTTAATTTTCATATTTTTTTATTTTTAATGAATATTTTTAAAATTTTAAACATTTTTTTTACTTTTTTAGATGCACCTTACTTAGATGTATTTAAAAAATAAAAAAAATGTGAAAAAATATTTTAAAAAATTAAAAAATACATAAAAATACAAAAAAAATGTACTAAATTCTTGTATTTTTTTTTGTATTTTTGATATTTGGTGAATTTTTAAAAGATTTTTTTTATAATTTTTTTACTTTTTAGGTGTATTTACGTTAGGTGTGTCTAAAAAGTAAAAAAATTACATAAAATATTTTAAAAATTCAATAAAAACAAAAAAATACGGAAAATAAGAGTGTGGAATTTTCTTAAAACTGTTTTTAAAAAATGAAAACCAAGCAAAGTGAATTTTTTTTTTTTTCACAAATTAATTTACAATGATGTGACAATTTCTAATTTATCACATACTTAATTGTATATGGCCTACTTTTGATTTGTCAATTTTTTTAATTTTTGGATACAACATACATAAATACACTTAAAAAAATATAATATTTGTAGAAAAAAAATCTTTAAAAAATTTACTAAATACTAAAAATATAAAAAAAAAATCTATAAATTTTCATATTCTTATGTATTTATTAATTTTAAAAAATATTTTACTTTTTAAATATATCTAGATTAGACACATCCAAAAAGTAAAAATTTTGTTCAAAATATTAAAAACATTCACTTAAAATAAAAAGAAAAAAATCCAAAAAGTAAAAACTTAATTTTCAAAAAATTTAAGTTCAAAAATTGAAACCAAAATAATTTCAAGACTCAAATAGTTGAGTTACCATATGAACATTTGTGAACTCTTTTTCAGTGAGTGATTTTTGAAAAGTAAAATAGAAGTGAAAAGATAAAAATTATTGATTTCTATTTTCTCATTCCTTTTTTCTTTCTTCATGAATCTCTCTAAAAATTTTATAAGATTCTTTTCTTTTTTTTTTCTTTTCAATACATCTCTTTTTTTTTTCTTTTCAATACATCGGAAATAAATTTATTTATTTTTATTATGTAAGGTATTCTGAGCTAACTTATGTGCACCAGACTAAATTCTTACACTCCGAACAAACTTTCAAGAACAGGGTCCCCAAGGTATAAGATACAAAAGCAGCAAAATTCAGTCACTAGTTTTGATCACAAACCTTACAAAAACATAAACAAAAACCCAATATTTCATCAATCATCAATCCAAAACCAGACAAATATATACCTGAAATCCCTAAATCTATCTATAATTATAAAAAAAATATTTGATCCACTGAAGTTTGCTCTGCCCGAATTATCTAAATGAATATGTTACGTGTAAGATATTCATTTCAACCCGCGTAAAGATATTTTACATGTAAGATATTCGTTCGAGCAATTCAGGCTGAGAAAATTTTAGTGAATATTCATTTCAACTGGATAAAGAAACAGTAAGATATTCATTCGGCCAATTCGGTTTAAGGAAAATTCGGTGGATATTCATTCAACCTGGTAAAGATTATATTAGATGTAAGATATTCATTTAGACAATTCAGTGAATATTCATGTCAACCCGGTAAAAATTTGAACAATTCGGGCGGAGAAAATTTGAGTGATGTAGCAGTAGTCTAATTATAAATGAATCATTAACAAACATACCTGAGATTGAGAAGCAAAATTTCAAGCCCAAGAATTATCAAATGCCGCCGAAGTGATTGCCTGAGAGAACTCCGGGAAGCTAATCCTTCCATCGCCATCGGTATCGGCCTCTCTGATCATCCCAGTCAGCTCCTCCGCCGTCAACGCGTGTCCCATCTTCGCCATCGAATGCGCCAGCTCCGCCGCCGTGATGTACCCGTTCCCGTCCCGATCGAACATCCGAAACAGCTGCTTCAATTGCTCCGCCGTGTACGGCGACTTCGCCGGAAGTAGCTCCGGCGCCACCAGCAACACGAACTCCGAGAACTCCACGAGACCGTTGCTGTTTCTATCCGCTTTCTGAATTAGGGTTTCGATCTCGTCGGGACTCGGTTTCAGACCTAGCGATCTCAACAGCGAGCCTAATTCGAGTTGAGTTAGGCTTCCGTCGTTGTTCCGATCGAAGGATCGGAACATTTCTCGGAGCTCCGAAAGCTGTTCGTCATCTAGTTTCGCTGATTCCTTGCTGTTCATCGTTTTCTATCAACAGAAAGAAAATTTTCTTCAATCATGTAATTCTGTATTTTCTCATCAATTTCTGGCGGTGGATCCAAGAAAATGGGTGTTTGTATTTATTTTCTCGGCTTCCAAACAGTCAGTGAATTAGACCAAACAAACAATCGGATTCGTGCCACCCTCTCTTTGTCTTGTGTATCAATGTAGAGAGACACGGTGAGATTAGTATTGTAATGATTGTTTGTTGTTTAGAGAAATGACAGATCCGAAGTAGAAGCAGAGAAAATTAATAAAGATTTGACGAAGTATTAGGAACGGAAATGAGGAATTGGACTGGGGGGCTTGAAGAGACTTTTTCTACTCAACTTGAGGAATTGGGATTCCCTTGCTTTCCTTTTCAAAATTTATTTTTAAAAAAAAAGAATTAGAAATTAGTTTGAAGAAAATGTTACAAAAATTTAAAAAAAAACACTCATGATTTTTATTTTTGGGTGATAATAGATTTTAGGAAAAATTGGTAAAACATCCTCTCTAATTTGGGTAGTAGAACACGTCCATATATCTTTTCTTATTAGTTAAGATTTCTTAATAATATTATTAAAAAAAATTCAACTCGAAATTTAAATTATTTTGAATTTTTCTGTGACGAGTTGATTTTTTTTGTGAAATTTCTCTCTGAAGAGTTATTCTTTGTGAAAAACTAAAAATTTACGTCTGTGAAAATGTTGAAGGATTCCAACTACTATAAAAATATCGTCTATTCTTTATCTTATAAAATCTTAATATTTGGAACTTTAAACTAAAAATCTCAATTTTTTAGTATTTATTTTTGTTAAATTAATTTCTATTATTTTAAAAAATTAAAAATTAAATTTGAAAATCAAACCAAACAATATTGTATAAGTCCAAATTGATTCGATAGATTAGTGTAGTCAAATAATTTTTAAAAACTTTTTTTGGAAAATAAAATACAAATGGCTGTCCATTTTTTAAGAATAAATATATTAAAGTTATATGATTATAATTATTGAATCAATTGAAATATTGTCACATATGAGTTATACAAAATTTATAAAATGACCACTTTAAATCATTAATATGACTCAGGATAAAACACTTATTCAGACACAGATTTCTGTTCAACATGAAAATGTTGCATTGATACAATGACGAGTGTTTCACAAATAGTCAAATCATTCTATATAATTTTTAAAATAAAAAATTAATTTTTCTAATAGTATTAACCTAATACCATGCATCATTTATATGTGAGTCCAACACCAAAACCAAAAACAACATCAATAACGTAATAATAAAAAATTAAAAAAAAATTATTTTTTATTTTCTAGGGTCAGAAACCTTGACTCGTGAAATTTTCTTTTTCTTTCAATATTCTCGCGAGAAAATACCAAAAAGAAGGCCAATGATGCGACAAAAGAGGCGCGAATTCCATGAACCAAGCACCGTCCTACTACCTAAGGACCCGTTTATTTTGGAAAATAGAATGGAAGGGATTGATAATGAGGGGATTAATAGTGAGGGAATTGTTAGTAAGGGGATTGATAGTGAGGGGATTAATAATGAAGAATTGTTAAATTATTTTTATATAAAATAATAAAACAAATATAAAAAATTAAACATTATATTTAAAAAAAATTCCCAATATATAAAAAATAAAAAAATTTCTAATCCCCTCACTATTTTCTAATACCATCTCTACCTCTTCCTTACCAATCCCCCTTCCAAGGGTATTAGCAATACCAAGGGACTAATAGTCCCAAGGCTTTCTCTGCAAACAAACAGGGGCTTTAGTAATACCTTGGTATTACTAGTCCCAATACCCTCCCTATAGCCCAAAACAAACGGGGCCTAAGTTCCTATTTGGTCCCAGTCACCGTTCAGACTTTTTGTCAACTGTTTTTTAAATTTTTGGGTGGGAATTGGCTATGTGCAATTGTTTTTCATTTACAACAATGATTCATCCTCCCTTTTTCCCCACCCCCTTTGACCTCCTCTCTTTCTCATTGGTTACCTTTTCTTTTTCTTTTTCTTTTTTTTCCTACTCCTCCAATCACCACCCACCACGTGACAAAGGGGGTGAGGGGGTGACCCCCAAAAGGGGGTCCCAAGCATTATTCTTTCATTTATCACTAATCCTGTTGTTTACCCAATCAGAATCTGCCACATCCTGGAAAAGACGGTTCTCAAGAAGAGTGACGTGCGATGACGTGGATTGATTGGGTAATATTCGAAGGCCTAGGGGGTACACAGAAAAGGATTCGCAGAGAAGTAGAGCCACAAGGGACGGTGGTTGTCTTGTCGTGCTAGCATATAATTATCGCAAAAATTATGCAAAAAGAAAATGCCTGGTAGCTCGAAGCTACCAGGCTCGAAAATGGTTCGAGAGGAAGAGAGGGAGAGGGAGAGGGAGAGGGAGAGAAAGAGAGGGAGAGGAGAAAGAGAAGGGAGGGAGAGGAAGAAGGTCGGCGTCGCAGCTCCCCGCCCCGCCGTCGTCGTAGCTCCCGCCGCCGCCTCTGCTTCCTCCTCCGTCGCAGCCCCGCCGATGTCGCAGCACCACCGTCGTCTGCCCAGCCTCCCCTCCTCCTCAAACCGGTTTTTATGGTCCCCTCCCCTCCCTCCTCCTCCATTCTCTTTTTCTCCCTTCTTCTTCTTCGTTCTGCAAAACCAGGGAAAAAAAAAAAAAAAAAAAAAAAAACAAAAGGGGGAAGCAATCAAAAAATATGTGTAGAGCTCGTTTGGAAAGTTAGATTTGGAGGTTTTTTGTTAAAATAGTTATAAAAAACAAAATAAATTTTTTAGCTTAATAAGATAAAACATCACATGTAATCCATAATCATTACATTATTTCTCTCACAAAAATTAAAAAAGTCAAAAAACCCTTCCCAAACGAGGCTATTTAGCCCTAGGCTAAAATAGCCAAAAAGTCAAAAAAATAAAAAAACCAACTCTTTTCCTAAACGAACCAATATATATACATAAGGAGTGCGAAGGCAAATTGAAATAATTTTTTGGAATGATGTAGTTTAAAGGAAAATTTGCATTTCAGTGTGATGGGAATAGCATAGGAGGACACAACCCATGGCCCAGTGAGGCCCAATCCACGATTGTCTTAAACTCTTCAAACAATCACATGGATAAAACTCAACAAGTAAGGCCCAACATCAAGCTCAGTAAGGGGTCAGAGGAGCCAATACTAGCCCAAGCCCAGTAACATTTGAGCATGTAGCCAATACTAGCCCAAGCCCAGTAACATTTGAGCATGTGTCAGATAGGGGCCTAGTCATGCGGCAGAAAAAGATCCTGTAGAGTTGTTGATACCATACATCAGGCATTTAATGTAACAATACCTCTCATTGCGAGGGGGGACGAGACAGCCATGGCTGACGACAAGTATGTATAAGGCTTTCGACCAATGAGATAGTATGAATAAGTTGAGGGGAAGAAAATAAATAATTGTAATTTTTTATTATTATGAATTGTTTTGGATATAGTTTATAAATTAATTTTTTTTCCTTCTTCCAAAAAAACAATGCATCAAAGTAGAGAGGTGGTGTGATAAAATAAGTCAATAAACAACTTATTTATAGTGTTGTATATTATAAACATTAAAAAGAAGCCAGATGTGTCATTTTATTTTTAAGATTTTGTATTTAAAGTACCTTAGACAATTTTTAATATTTTGTATTTTTTATTCTTTTGTTTCTCACCAAAATATGAGTTTTAAGAATGTTTGTTTTTTTTCCCTCACAATCCGTCTCCATTACTAACCGTTTCTCGCCTCCAGTGTAACATAAGATTTGTGTAGCTGTGGTAATGAATTGGGATCATATGATAGGCTCTTAACATAACCATATCCTTCCTTCCCTTGCTTGTATATTGTGAAATTTTATCAATGAACAAGATAATTTAACATACTTTTAATATCAAACCTACCGTGAAAAAAATCAAAATAAAAACAAAATCATTTTTGAGAATCAAAATTATATTCCAGGCTTAACACATAACAAACATCACAGAGACTTCAAATAAGCTACATTATTGAGGTAATGGGGTACAAAAATTACAAGTGTTACTCTAGTGTATAGTCTACATTTTCACAACATAACAATGCTGAATGCAAGTCTAGAGTCATTAGCGTCACTATATCAACATATTGTACCAAACAAATGCGTAAAGCTATGGCATTAAAACAACATTAATAATATTGTTAAGCGACATGAATTTCTCTTCTTCTTATTATCGTTTCCAAAAAATAAGTAACTCTTTATGTCATGTACAAAATCTTAGATCACAAACCACAACATTACAAATAGGTGAAGTAAAATAAATTAAAACCCATTTTCATAATCAGAGTCCATATAAAGTGCCTGGTTACTGATCTAGAAGAGGACTTCCTTCTTTAGCAAGCACAAACAGGCCGCCATCCCCTCTTGATATCCGAAGATCCTTGTCAAGGTACGAAATAAGAAGCCACGATTTTGACTGCTCACCCGGAATGGGAACCTTAAGAGGGGGCTGACCAGAAATACTGCGAGCTATACTCGAAACAGCCTCTTGAAGAGGGTTAAGAGATTGTTGCACAGGCGATAAATTGATTTTCTGCCCAAAAATATCAATGTTCTCCGGGAGATTGATGCTTCGCTTGATCTCTGGAGGCTGCAGGATCCCTTCCTTAAATTCAACCTGCAAATTTGTTAAACAAATCAAACTTGCTGATTCAATGTGACGGCGAAGTTTCCAAATTTTCAATAAGTCTGGAATTATAACCAACATTTTGATTGTCCATATGACAGATGTAATACCTAAATAATTTGCAAAATATTCAAAATAATTCCAATATGACAATCCAGGCTTCGCACATTCCAACCTGCATACTCCACGTCTCCACTGGATTTCATTCTTGAATTCTCATGAATACTATGTGATTTTTCAAAGTTCCAAACTCATCAGTATCCATCAATTACACATCATTCCATAGGATCTTTTTTTGGCTTCCTAACTAGAATGAAATTCATTGCAATGTTGTAATCTAGGAAGCACATACACTTCAAAATGGGTTCCGTGTCCGTGTCCAACTTTTTTATTATTGATTTTGCAAGACACTTTAGGGACACTTCACAGAGGTGTGTCCTATGTTTGGACAAACCTTAGGACACCTTTGTGAGTATTTTTTTAATAATTTTAAAAAGCAGATTTGGGGTCAAAGTAAATTGTATGGAAACAAAGAGGGGAAACGCAACAAAAAAAAAATGGAAATAAACCCACATATAATTGATGTCTCTTATATCTCTATGCTCTACATTGTTATTCATATACATAGCAATCAAAAATATATTAAAAAATTCCAGCTTTTTTTTTTTTCTTCTGTATATCTGCTGTATCCATAGCCTAATTTTTCAAAATCGCCGTGTCTCGTGTTTGACACGTGCCTGTGTTTTTGCTTCCTAGACTGTAATGAACTCTTTTTTTTTCCTTCTACTTTTTCTCCCCTTTTAGTTGTGGGGTGCCTGGGGAGGGGGAAAAAATTTACATACAATTAACTCATGCTTGTAATAAGGATTACCAGTATTCTTGAAGGAGTTTGAACTTCAAAGGTGGCAGAGGCACTGAAGGAGACAGTGGCAAAAGGGCTAGACAATATGGTGGAGTTCTCTATGGTGAGGCTGTTGGTGTTAATTGCTTGGCAAATCCTTTCAACTTTCAACAAAGGAGTGGTGCCTGCTGCCAGAAGAGGCAACAGCTCAGAAAATGCCGTGTACCTGATGAATAGAAAGTAAAGTAAGGATCAACTTAAGTAAATTAAAAATAACAATCATTAAACAGCCACTTCTATCGAATTTTTCTGCATGAACATCCACCATATTGTTCTCAAGGAACCCAAATGATTACAACCAAATGAACAGTTACATCACTTGTGACGTCGTACAAAGTCTCATTGAAGCTCAATCTAGCATACAAGCATGTTTCCAGTTCCATGATGCCCTCATAATGCACTCATCCAGGTTCATAACCCATTTTCTTTCACCTCCCTTTATCTTTTTATCCTACATGTAGATGATCTTAATCACTTTATCATACTGGACCTAAGCGAAGATAACAATCCATGTGGTGAAATGCATTTTGTATAAATCAGAAGGTAAAAAAAAAAGTTCAAAATTGGAAGGAAAGGGCTTCTTCAAAGTATTAACCACCAATGGACCACAAAAACATACATAGCAGACTAGACTCACTTGAAACAACAGGTATCATCTTATCAAACCACCAATGTAACCACAAAAGGTATCATCATATTTGAAGCTAACCACCAAATAATTGAGGACAACAATTTAATTACGAGGAAATCAAAGAAACAGAGTGCTGATCTAAAAAAAGAAATAGGGTCTGCTTCAAAACATTCAAACAAAAGAACAAACCAAAAACTTGTTGACTAACATGGTTGATACCATCAAAATACCCAATAATAAACATTATAACTAGTTTTGCTATTAATTTCACCCAAAACCCATTCTATTGATGCATAAAAAGAAGGTTCCAACAACTCCCCTTATAATCAAGATGCAAAATCAAAACCAATGGGTTCAAAGATACTAAAATCTTCATTATTCAAAGTTTGAAGAGATAATACACCCAACTAATATACTTCATCTATTATTGGTATCTCATTATTTGTATTTAAAATTATTGATCCAATGAACGATTTGCCTAAAAACTGCAACTTTTACCATTTTACCATTTGATTTAGATTTAACTCCACTCTTTCACATTGCCAATCAACTCTTTACTGATTAAAGCCTGGCCGGTTCCCCACTCCCACCCCATTATTTGTGCGGCAAACAAAGATTATAAGATTTATCAAAATCTTCACTTCCCACTGCACATTAGTAACATGTTCAACTTTGTACTAGTTTCCAACTGCAACAACTAGAGCTTTTACAGTCCCCTCCCCCAGAGCCATCACAAAACAAAAAGCCATCAAGTTTAACATTGCTGGCACAGTTATCAACCATGGTTAAATGATTAAATCTCTAACCTCTTCACTTCAATTGCATTTACCACTGCAAACATAAGATAAAAAAAATATACAAATAAAAAACTCATCCAAATTCTCCTAATAAGCCTTATGAGTCACCCATAGCCAAAAATTATGATGCCCTTGATTCTACAAACAAACAAATTGCTTATATGAAATTAAAAACAAAAACAAATTACATAGATCATGTGGAATTTAATCGTAAGTATCTATACCTACAACATTGCCTTCAATTTTCTCAAGTGAACTCAATTGTTGTAGATTGGCAACTTAGACTATTTAAAGAACTTTCAAAGAACATTGTTGACCACATATGCACATGTACATTGTTGCTTTGCTTACATAAATGTCCCATTTTCTTCAAATTTTGTCATACTAATCCTGAAATATCCAATTATCCACAGTGCCTCCTAGTTTCCTAATCCACTTCTGATGACTAATTCATTTTGAATTGGCCGAAAGTAAAATTTACCCACATCAATTAATTGAGGTACTGGTTACGATCAATGTTCACACTTTCTCTACTACCTGGCCACATAGAAAATCAATTAATCCATGACTCATATCTATACATACACACATACATAGTCCACATACAGTCCAAATTTAAAAGAAAAGATTGATGAACTTACACCAAAACCCAGTTCCCATCAAGAACATCAATGGCCGCTGTCGGCACTGGAGTCGGATTCGCTGCCTCCAACTGATTAATCAGCTCCAAAACCTCCGCCCTAACCTCCGCCGACGCCCGAAACCCGAAATCAGTCCCATAAACACTATCCACCAAGCACCTCTTCAGCTCCATCAGCTCATCATCATCATCATCAACCACTCTAGCTTCTTCCCCAACACTACCATTATCATTAGTACCAGAGTTAACATAATCTTCTTCACTTCCCCACTCATCCTCATCCTTCGGCGGATCAGACTCCGACAACTTCGTCAGCGGCTCGGCGTCCGGCTCGGCTCTCTCTCCCCACTCGTCCACGACCCCGGCTTGAGCCCCAACCGCGGCTCCGCCCCACTCGTCTTCATTTTGGGGCGGATCGGCGTCGGACAACTTCGTCTGCGGCTCGGATTCCGGCTCGGATATATCGCCCCACTCGTCGACGGAGAAGTTGTAGAGGGTGTCGGAGGTGAGGGATTCGCCGGAGAGAGGGTCGGGAACAGAGAAGCGGGCGGTGGTGGTGGTTTTGGGGAGGAGATAGAAAGAGAGAGAATGGGGATTGATGGGGCGGAGGAGGCGAGTAGGGTTAGGGTTTTTCGGGAGGAGAGAAGGAGGTGGAGGAGGGGATGAGAGAAGGAACGCCATTTTTGCGTTGTTCAGATTGTGGAGGTGGAGGTTTTGAGGTACGGACGACTGTCATGGGACGCGTGTGTTGTTAATTTGTTACACACAGTAGCTTTGAGGTACGGACGACTGTCATGGGACGCTGTGTTGTTAATTTGTTACACACAGTAGCTTTGTCGTTTGTCGTTGTTTATTTATTTTTGACAAAATGCTCGTGACCTCTTTTGTTTTTGAGACCCCACAATCTCTTGATCTCAATCATTGACGATGTGGGATCCGTTATCGTTCATGGTTGGGATTTAAAAGGGTTGGGGATTTTTCAAAAAAAAAAAAAAAAATCTCAATTATTATTTTTTTTAAAATAATTTTTGTTAAGTCCTGAATTAGCTAATATGTTTTATAATAATTAATAATATTTTTTTCATCAAATGTTAATAAAAAAAATCATTAATTATTAATTGTTAGTGATAATTTAAATTTTTATCATAAAAATACCATTAATTATAAGTTTTAGTAACAGTTTAAATAAATTGTCACAAAAAAAATCATTAATTTTCAACTTAGCGACAGTTTGAAAATTTCATTATAGAAAAATATTACTAATTGTAAATTTTAATAACAATTTATAAAAATTGTGATAAAAAAGTCTATAATTGTCAAATTTTAGCAACATATGTAAAAAATTATCACAAAAAAATTATGTTTAGCGGCGATTTTAATAAGACCTATTTTTAATAGGATTGATGAGAATTAAATCAAACAATTAAGATATATTGGTAGCTCACTTTTTTTTTGTTTTAAGTTGTAAAATTGCATTTTAAAATGTGAGCATAATTTTTTCTTAGACACCTATTTTACGAAGAGAAACTTTTTTTTAAGGTACTTGATATTAAGATTTTATAAGGTAAACAACATACAACATTTTCATAATAATTGGGGTCTCTAAACATTTTATAGAGAAAATTCAACCCAGATAAATTTATGTCTAACTCAGAGAAATTTTGACCCCGATACAGAGAAATTTCATCAAAAGACCTTAGCTAGTAAAAAAAAAAATTAACTTCTCAAGCTATACAAAGTTGTAGAGGGATACTTACCTAATTTTTCTTTTTATAAATCGATTTTTAAATGTGAGATTTTATATAAAATAATTTATATCCACATTTTTTTGAAATTATTTAACAAAATTAAAATTGCATCTTCAAAGTCCAATTTGTACTTAAACATTTTAAATCCTAAAGTACTTTTAGCCGCCGTTTGGGAAGAGGTTCTTTGGGCTTTTTTTTGGCTAAAATAGCTACAAAAGACAAAATATGTTATTTTAGCCACAACAAACAAAACATCACAATCAACCTATAATCATTACACTCTTCTCTCATTAAAAAAGTCAAAAAATCAAAAAGTTCTTCCCAAACCAAGCTTTTTAGCCCAGGCTAAAAATAACCAAAAAAGTCAAAAAACTAAAAAACTAACCCACTTCCCAAACGAAACCTTAGTAGGTTCATTTTAGCGATTTAAATTGTAAAAGTTATTAAATAAATTATTTATATAAAAAAATTAAACTAATTTTCTACATTGTATTATCTGATCTAATAACATTTTAAATAATACCGAATTAAACCCAAAAATCCTTTTTCAAAAAACTAACCCACTTCCCAAACGAAACCTTAGTAGGTTCATTTTAGCGATTTAAATTGTAAAAGTTATTAAATAAATTATTTATATAAAAAAATTAAACTAATTTTCTACATTGTATTATCTGATCTAATAACATTTTAAATAATACCGAATTAAACCTGAGAGGGTAATTTTTGGAAAAAATTGGGCCGAGCTGTGAGTTGGGCTTTGTGGTCCAAAGTACGAAGGACTGAGTAAAAAGGCCGTAATGATTACTCTGGCTCAATAAAAATGTAAAAGTTTACTCCGGCTCAGGAGAGGCAAGGTTACTCCGGCCTAGGAAAGACAAAGTTACTCCGGCCAGGGAGGTAAAGTTACTTCGGCTCAGGGACTGTAAAGATACTTCGGTCCAGAACGATTTGGAGTTATGCCGGTCTTGAAGTCATACCGGCCGAAAATCATTGGTTCGGTCTAAGCCCGTACCATGGGTTCTACACGGAAAGCCGAGATAAGAAAGGGTAAACGTAAGAACCGAACTAAGAATAGTTCGGCCTACTCAGTGGCTCTGCATGGCCAAGCTTATTTCGGTCATATCGTAGTTCGGCCAAAGTAAAAACCATCCCACTTGGTTTAAGCAGTGGGGGTGTAAAAGGATAAGCATTATCCTTAGGAGTATGAATCATAGGAGGACTCTGCATGGAGGAATAGAAGTCCTACTAGGATTGTGCCATTCGAAACATATAAAAGCTCACAAACATCACCTTGGAAGAGGTAACAGAACATAATTTTGCTTTCTGAGAATATTGAGTTTTGTGTATCTGTCAAGTTTTCTGACTTAGGCATCGGAGAGGTTTCCGGCACACACCCGCCGGCTAGCTCACGTTTGTGTTTTCAGGTGATAAAGCGACGTCGTACGGAGGAGCGTGGACTTAGTCAACAGGTTTATACGAGAAGATATATTTCTTTCCCGTACAAAACCCAAAAATCCTTTTTCAACCTTTCTTTAAAAGTCTTCCTCCACTAGCATATGGCAAAGAGATTTATATATTTGTGGTTTTAATAAAATTCTTAATAAGCATTATTTTTCTATATTATTATTTAAACATAATTAAAATATTGACAACCGAACCCATTTATGTGTAAAATTATAGAAGATTTTGTTAAACACTTCGATCCAATCAAGTATGGTTGTATTAGTATGGATTATAGTTGGAATATCTTTATCCTAATTATTGGAGGAATTCTATTTGAATTCAAAATATGGATCAATATGTCTAATTTAAATTTATAAATTTTAATTCATATTATATCTTAATATGAATTTACTAATAAGAACAATATATATTAAACACTAAAATAATTTTTTTTTTTCCTCATGGTACATACTGTTGGCTTATTTTTCCTACGAAGGAAAATATCATAAATGCGAGCGTGCCAGCAAGGATTGAAAAATCCTTACAGATTAAAGGTACATACTAGTCAGTTATTTATGTTCAAATCTTTGTATCTTCTTCCCCAAGAGATCAATGTTATTTCTTCTTCTTCTTCTTTCTCCTCTGTCCAAAACTCTAATCCATCCTACCAAAACTCACCATCATTATCAACATCATTGTTTTTTATTATTTTGAAACTTTAAACCCTAAAAGAAATTTTGAACAAAATCAAATAATGGATGAGAGTAATAATCAAAATAATTTTTTGAAGCAGCCCATCAAAAAGGAGGTAAGTATTCATATAAAGGGGTTTCACAATTTTTATAGAGTACCATCAATTATTTTTTATATCGTTTTTTTAACAAAAATTAAAGGGCTCAACAGTTAAATTAATGATAACATATTATTGGAGTTGTTAGTGCCTGAGAACTAGTACATTAAATAGTACATTATTTGAGAACTACTATTTTTGTTAGTACCTGATGCTTATGTGTTTATAAGTTTGATTTTTATTTTTCTACGAGCATTCTTGTAGATAATTTATAATATAAAAGTTTTTTTTTCTCTGTATTGAAAAGATTTATAATGCTTATATAAAAGTTTAGTTTTTTCTGTATTTATAATGCCTATATGCTTATAAGTTTGGTTTTTTTTTCCTGTATTTGAGAATTATTATCTGTATTGAAAAGTTTTTGAAATAATTTAGTTTTTTTAATTTGTTTATTATTTATTATTTGAGTTTACCTTGAGGGTAATTTGAAAAAAATAATAGGATATAATGAGAGTAAAATAAAATTTTAAATAATTAAATAAGGTATATTTAAAAATCATAAGTACGTAATAATTTTTTAAGTGTAAATAGAATCTCCCATATTTATATCCCCAATGAACCCAATTATTGCAATTGCTCGGATATTCTCCTTTTTAGCTTCAAAGCCCAACATATGGTCCATTACCTTAAGGCCCAAAAGCAAGCCCATGTTGTATATGATCTAAGATTTTGCAGGTCCAGTAGGCCCATTATGAAACAGCAATCCCCATTCTTCTGAGCCTGATTTTGAGAATCAAAAAGCCCAACCAATAAACAAACTCATCCTCTTAGTCCACTAAATTTTATCACAACCCAATTCATGTCCTCAGATATATAGCACCATTGATTGAAGGGTAATATTTTGTGTGATGAATATATTTTCTCTGTTTCATTTTAAATTTTTTTGAAAAATAATTTTTGAGTTTTTAATTTATATATTTTAGTTTTTAAATATAAAAAAGTACAAAAATAGTACTTTTTTGGGGTGTATTTAGTGAGTTCTTTTTAGATTTATAGAAAAATTGTACTTTTTGTGGGGGAGGTATTTAGTGAGTTCTTTTTAGATTTATAGGCAAATATTTTATTTTTGAAATACATTTAAATTAAGTGTATCTAAAAAAAAATTGATTATAATATGAAAAAAAGCAAAACATAAAAGATAAATAATAAAAACTCAAAAACATTTGGGTCCCAAAAAAGTGGGTTCCGCATGTTTGTGAGGTAAAATATGGGAGTTCAAATTTATTCACACCTTGATATAAAATAGTCACACTTTTCAAATAGGAGACTCACTGTTTTGAATCAATCACAATATATGAGAAATTTTATTTTCACACATCTAATTATTTCAGTATACACATTTAATAAAATATTATTTTAATAACAATTATATCCTAAACTAAAATGACCATAATAAACATCCACTAGCACCCATAATATTATATGAAAATATTCTCTGTACATAGCTTTTAGAAACAAAACAAAAAAAAATCTCAATGTACACCTTTTGAGTAAAAAAAAATTGAATCTTAATTTTTCTATTATTGTCACTTTACTTGCTACACACTCTATACTCCTCTATTGCTCGCAAATCAATACTCTCATAACAACTCTCATATTGTTTTAATCTCTAGATTTATACTCTATTAGTGATGAAAAGATTATTTTTTCCATGTATAACTTTTCTTTTCTTTTTTTCCTTTTGTAATTTTCAGTCGGACAACTAGTGCTAAATTGTTTCATTATATTCGGACATCAACTGCCGAAATTTTTTTTTTTTG